TTAAAAATTTTCCCTGATTTAAATGGAAACTCCGTGAAATTTCCCTTACCTTGAAGGAATTTTTTTCCCCCAATCATTTTCTGACCAAAGGCAACCATAAATAAAGAAATTCCGTACAATTTTACAAACTGTTCGCCTTACATTTGATCTCTTGCGAAAATCGCGAACGGATTTCTCCATGGGGCACAGTTATTGAGTGTTTCACCCTCATCGCAATAATGATTGTCACTGCATTTTAATTCCAGAAAATTTTCATCTCGAAACATAATTTATCATATTTTTAATGAGTAGTTTGGAAAATAAGGAATGCCGGAATTCGGAACCGGAATTTGAAACCGGAATACTTGGAATACCCGGAATTCCCGGAATGACCGAAAAATAATAAATTTTAAAAAAATTGAAGTAAATCAATACATAAATAAGAATATTGATAATTAAAAATTGATGGTAAATTCACAACTTAATTAAATAATTTAGTTTGAAATTTTTCTCTGAGGGTCCCAAAAAAAAAAAAAAAACTTACCAGTGCTGTTCATAGAGAAGCACGTATTAGAAGTAAAAAAAAGTCTGCGTCAGGCCAATAGCCCATACAGCCTAAGCGACGAAATATTTCTACTCTCCCTTCCCCCTGGATGGGATGCTAGTCCATCACAAGGTTTCTCCCCGTTTTAAATTCGCCTCCACCCATTTACACACCTGTAGGATGTCTAGGGCGCCATGACCATTAGGCCACCACGCTTTTCCAGCCGGAATCATTGCAGAAGATTAAACAAAGGCAATATTTCCAATTAGTTTAATAGTTCAATTGTAAAAAGTTCCGAACTATTACAAATTAATACTCTACCTTAAATAATTATTAACCACCCATTGGGAGCTATCAAAGCAGCTACCATTTAGACCAGCCGCCTACAGTTAAAATTGAGAGATCGTCAGTTACTCGACACCTTTTCGCGTCTATTATAAATACCTTGAATATATACCTTTAAATATATATCTTGTACTGATGGATTCTTCTAAACAAGGTTTATATTCAAAGGTATATATTCAAGGTATTTATAGACGCGAAAAGGTGTCGAGTAACTGACGATCTCTCAATTTTAGCTGTAGACGGCTGGTCTTAAAGGTAGCTGCTTTGATAGCTCCCAATGTGTGGTTAATCATGATTTAAGGGAGAGTATCAATTTTTAATAGTTGGGAGATTTTTAAACTAATTGGAAATACTGCATTTGGTTAATCTTCTGTAATGGTTCCGGCTGGAAAAGCGTGCAGGACTAAAGGTTATGGCTCCCTGGCTAGACATCCTACAGGTGTGTAAATGGGTGGAGACGAATTTAAAACGGGGAGTAACCATGTGATGGACTAGCATCCCATCCAGGGGGAAGGGAAAGTAGAAATATTTCGTCACTTAGGCTGTATGGGCTACTGGCCTGACGCAGACTTTTTTAATTCTAATACGTGCATCTCCATATGAACAGTGCCGGTAAGTGTTTTTTTTTTACGGGACCCTCAGAGAAAATTTTCGTATTAAATTATTTAATTAAGTTGTGAATTTACCATTAATTTTTAATCTTCAATGTTCTTATATATTTATTTCTTTATTTACTTTTATTTTTTTTAAATTTGTTATTTTTCGGTCATTCCGGTAATTCCGGGTAGTCCGGTTCCGAATTCCGGCATTCCTTATTTTCCAAACTACCTTTTTAATGATATATTAGGCAAATGTATTTAATTTCATTAATGCCCCTAAAGATAGGATCAGAATAGCCCACAACTGCTAGGAATTTCAAGGAATGCCCTACCATACGATTGAACTTTTTCTAGTGGGTGGCTACCATCGAAACCTACTTTAAATCAAACTGATAAAATCACTTAGAAACTAATGTTTCTGGCTTTAATATCTGGTTCTTCGGTGGAGAGATCTTGAAGTTGCTAAAATATTAATCTCGTTATCGAACTTTTAACACTCCATCACACTCCATCACACTTTTATCGCACTCCCCACACGAGGAAACTGATTAGCAAGTTGTGGTGTAAAGAATATGGCTGGAGTTTTTAATTGTCCACCCCAACCTTCCCTACTTTCTCTGACGGACTACTGTACGTTTATCTTTCTAAATCGTAATCAGTAACCTTTCTTTCAGGGAAAGATTACTTCTTCGGTCTCCCTGGAAAACAAACCAAACTTATAAGTAAGCAGCACAGTAAAGAATTCACTGAGGTAAAATGGCTAATTACAGTTTCTCATCTGAAAGAAGTTTTTTTATTACGCACATTCTCACCATGAGATGCTTACTTAAACCCGGCTGTTGACTGGCTCATCTAACACCATTAATTAAGCCATCTCATCGAATGCATCACTTTGCTGGTCATAAAGAAAACGTGAATAGCAATCTGCAAAGAAAAGTCGAAAATTTCCTAGATATCGTTTTGCTCAGAAAACAGTGTCATCTCTCACGGATCCCTTTCATCATACTTCTTAGCTGTTCCATGCATAGGTCCTCAATAAAATTTTTTTCTGTCTCTGTCATCAAACAAATACAATTTTGTTACCTCCATCGCATTCGATTCTATTTTCTTTTGTTATTCATTTTTAATATCCTCATATTACACTACGGTGATGTGTTTAATTTTTTTTAACTCATCTGATCAGAGCTGAAATGTAGCTGCGCTCTGTAAACTGAAAGTCTAGTTGACCCGCGATCTTCTTGTTTTAAGGACCGTGTTCGTGAAGCAAGAGTAAATTTTCGTGAAAACTGACAACTGAATCTAATCTCAGACACTTATGACTCACTCAAAATTAATTTCCGGCGATAGACTCCTGTTACAAGTTACAGAGTCAACGATTGGCGATTTTTTTTCACTATTTGGGAAGAAAACATGTCAAAAATGGCTAATGTTAACTCAGCATGCACAGTTCGACCACATGGACTTGCTTGTTAACTGCAATGGCAGCGAACATCGAAGATTCGATTGTCACATTTAAATATGGGTTCGAGTTTCGGTTTCGTTTGTTCTCAAGGCGGAATCGAAGATACGATCAAATCGCAGACGGATATCCCGACGAACTTTTCGTCGAATACACTTTTCGCATACGATCAGGAGGGGCATTCATATTGCCGAGCACACCTTTGTATACGAACCAAATAGGTAAGGTGATCACCATGAGATTCAAAAGCCCGATGTTCAATCGCAAGAAATTCTCTTGCGTTTTCGGAGTCGAAGTGGAAGTTGCTTTAACAGAGAATAGACCTTGTGCACTGTGAACTCGTATGAGGAATTTGGGGTCAATACCAGCTAACTCGAATAATTGGTGATGGCCGTTTTCTTGTAAACTATGATAAAATACGTGATTCGCGTAACTGCTTAAACTACACACGAGAATAGTGACTTAGGAAAAAGAGGTTCGTAATTCGCGATTTGGACCCTTCCCCTGCTCCCATTACCAAGAGACAAAGCATTTTACTCCGTTTTTCTTTTATTTAAACATTTAATTATTTATACCGTCAATAAAACAAATGTCAAATACTTGTGAAAAAAATACTTCATGGCTTGTTTGACGAGAAGTTTCATCTAGGCCAAAAGAACTCATCAGATACCTCGAGGAATTTTCAAGCAAACTCGTTAAGTATTGCGCTCAAAGTCCTGTTCGCGAATTCAAGAGGTTAGCAGTCTGGCCTTCGATCGCATGATTCCCAACCGCAAGTTCAAAAGTTACGGATGAAACTGTAACTTGTGAACGAGTTACGTATTTGTTTTTGCTAATTCATCTGGTAATTCATAAACCACCAGAGCAAACATACACGAAGATACAAAACGACAAAGAAATCGAATTTCATTTGTAAGGCGAAGGTGGAATAGACGAAGGTTCAATACCAGATATCGGCCTAAGGTAAATTTTTCTTCTTTTGTTGCTGTATCAATCAAAAGATGTTGAAAAAAAATAGGTTATTCATTTAACGTCATCTTTTAATTCTCACGCTAGAGTGAGTTTGAAGAGAATCTAACTCGAAACCTGAAATAAAAATACTCCAAAAACTTTTTTGCTCGTTTGTTTCGCTTTGTCAACAAATGATATAAACTATTAAAAACGGTAAAAAATTTTGATATGTTGATATTGCTAGGTTTCGGAAAATAAGAAAGCAGAGAGAAATCTAGTGGCGTCATCGAGGCAAGCTTTTTCCTAAATTCACTATCAGGTAGAGTAGGGAACGGCTCATGACCTAAAAACTCATCTCCAGTTTCTAAGGAATGGCTATCTGTATTAGACATATGCTCCACCTCAAAGATACTTCATTTCTTTGGTGCTGTAACCGAACAGTTGCGCTTTAAGTGTTTTTCCCATTTTCTTTTACCATTGACCCAAACGACCACATTTACCCGCTCATTCTTGTTTTTGATGATTCATTTTCCTATTCTACGCGAGTGTATAGGAAGGAAAAAAGGCATTTCTTTGCCTTATGGAGATGCACATAACAATGACAACTGCCAAAATGATGAACTTCATCTAAGAAATCGAACTGGACATAAAAAATATCTTTTCTTGCTTATCATTTGTTTTCAATTTGGCCTTGCCTTTGACTTTGCTCTTTCAAATAGTTACAATAGGGGAATGTCAACGTATGGCAGGTCTCCAAAATGTTGTTTACAAACCTTTACATCTGATGAGCTTGTAAGGTGACCGATTGTTATCTTATTCAGAAATGTTTTTCAAAAAATTAAATTTTTGGAATTCTTTTTTTTAACCTTTCACTCATTTAAAAGAATTTGAAAACATCTTTACGACAGCAAACGGGACAGCAAAATCTTCCGAAGTTCCTTGCCGCAGATTGTCTTTGTCTCTACAATACCAGACTTAAAAATCAGTTGTTATGGACCAGCTTAGCTCTTTTTTGTTTCAATTTAGGGTTCATTATTCCGTGGCATGCAGTTGACCAAGCTTTCACAACGAACCCGTTGTAAGTGGCCTTCAGGGGGGTAAAACAGCTGATTGCCAGGTGACTGTTACATTTATTTCTTTAAGAAGTTCTTACTTGCTGTAATACTCAAGTCTACGTAAAAGTAGCTTGAAGTTTAGCAGAAACAATTGCACATCATCTCGAATGCAGAGAAACGAAGTATGCCCGTTCGCCTTTCGTTCAGTTTACTTGTCACTTGGGTTCTATCTTGCTTATGCAGTTTTCTTCTTTTTTTTTTTGCTTAAGCTTTTGCTTGCACCTATGCACTAGCAATCACCAGTCTCAACAGGTTTCCAGCAAAGGAATTTTCAAGGCTACGACCAATCACACCTTTGTTCAGCGAAAAGGCAAATTAAGACCTTTACATCCCATAGCAAGACGACACCCAATCGGTATGATCAGAGATAATCTTTCTCTTACTCCCAATATAATTTTTTTTCGATAACACAAATTTGATAAGAAAGTATTGCATAATAATATTTTAACTGACATACGTATGCCTGTACACGTGACAACCGGGAACAGGTTTTTGAAGGTTTCATGGGTTACAATACTTTCCTCCTGCAATTCTCTTATGTAGCTTGTATATCGTTGTGAAGTTTACATTACATTCGCCAGTTTTGGGCAAATTTTCCAAATGTTTCTTGGGTCATTTTAAGATGATCTGACGGAACGGAACCGTCGAACCCAAAAATTGATCTTACGTTTTGTCAGACAGATATTTTTGACTAAAATTTGATAGGAATAGTGAATAACCCATGGGATTTGACTACTAAAATAGCCTAGAAATCAGGAATATTGAATGATATGTTCATCCGGTTGTGGCTGATTTAATAAGCCCCACAACTCAACAAACCTTTTCCTCAATGTTCCACCGTTTTCTCGACCGACGGCATTTCAGAAGGTTGCCGTAGATTCTAGTGCTTTGAAAATTTGTCCTAAGGCATGCAAAGGTCAGAGGCTTGCTTTTCATACGCAATTCACTGACCATTAACTCAATTAAAACCCTTGAACACTCTATGGAATCATCTTAAAGGACCTAATTGGTCTTTGAAGCACAAGCCGCGAGTCCTTTGATCAATAAGACAATTATAGATATAGCTGATGAAAAGATGAAGCCATAAATGGGAAGGTATTCAATTAGGGCTTATTAATTCATCATTGCCACCTCTCACTTGGGAAATAATTATATAGCTTTAACCCTGATTTCGTCTCGTTTGAAAACTCTACCATTAAATAGATCAATCGGAAGAAAAAGCTACTATTCTCGAAGCCTTAAAGAAGGAATGTCTTTTGGGAAAAAAAAGTGAAACATTGGTACTCAGTCCTAACAACAAAATTAAAGGAGCCTGATAGAACAGGTCATTAAAAAATTGCAAATAAAGACTCACACTCAAATGGTTGCAATATGCTGCGAAAAAAGAAAGGAAGAAATAAAAAAAGATAGAACATCAATATGGTCACAACACGGAAACGCTGAAAATCATTAAAACGGGCTGACGTTGATAACTGCAATGAAGGTCTGTCACGGCTGTCTGCAGCATACTAGGGGAACTGAAAAAAAAAGAAAAGAATGGCTATAATCAATTTCTTTGCCGAACGCGGCTTCAGTGCATAACCATTCAAACAGATGTAAGTCTACATGACATCAATTCGCGACTAAAAATCACATTACCATAAGAAGATTAACGGTAACTGGCCATCGTAGTTTGGGATTTCAGTCGAACAGTTAAGATTGGGATTTCAGTCGAACAGTTAAGAATTGGAAATCAGCTGGTTATCCTATTATCTGCAACAAGCGTCGTTATTTTATTTCTGACTTACATACAGTTCTTCCAAATACAAGTTTCTTTAAATAGTGCACTTTCTTTTTTCCTGTTATAAGTACATGATATCGCTGCTTGTACTGAGTGAAATATTCATCGACCACAAGGCGTTTAAGTGGTTATGTTGAAATGAGTAAGTTTTTAAATTTTTCTCAGCCATGGGGTAAAACTTGAAATTTTTCGTCGGTAAAAGCGGTTCTATTTTTTTTAACAATACAAGAAAGTAACCAGATAAAACAGCTAGAAAAGAAAAGGCGTCGGTTAGTATCAGTTTATATCACCATAAACTGTGGTTTACGTTGAAAGATAAAATGAAAGATGTAAGAGATACGCAGTTATTTTTCCTCTTTTCTTATATTTACTAAGGAAAGAATGTTGTTCCTGTGTATGTACAACAAGTGAGGTAAAATAGAAAAATGTTATCTGTCTTGCCAACTTTTGACTCTAGTATATAAGGCTGGATTTCCTGTCCTAATTTATGTGTAGCAGCAAAAACATTTATGAAAAAATAATATTGTTCCAACAATAGCCATACGATATTTACATACATACAAAATGAAAAATCGTTCTTTACTTTGAGCACCCTATGGTAAGAATCATGATTTTGTTTAAAATATATGCATTATTTGATAAAATCAGTCCTATGTCTTAATTCGCATTGATGTAAAAATGCTGTACACGGACTTCTCCATACCATTCATCTAAATAATGCAGTTAAAAAAAAAAAAAAAAAAAAAAAAAAAACCCAAGTAAAACTGTCTAACATTAAAATGCGATTTTGGCTGCATACAAAACTACGGAGTTTATCATTTTTTAGACAAGGACACGAGAGAATCACAAATCAGTTTTAGAATGTTGTAAGAGATGGTCATTTTAATTCGAGAAGCTTCAGTGTAATCATTTAAGCCCCATGGAATATCAATCGCAGCATCCCTAAAAATAATCTTGTGTAATAATTTTCATTTGATGGGTCACAAGTCGTCCAATTTGGTCGTCATCCACTTGCTAAAACCTATTCGATGTCGCAAAACATTTTGCTTTTTTTAAGGTGGCTGCTTTCAATAATCCCACATTGGAATTTCATCAAAAGACAACGCGTGTGCCGGTTAGACAGATGACCCTGGTCTTGAAAAGAGCGATCGCACCACAGACACTTGATACAACGTTTGACAATGTAGTTTTTGTAAGCCAAGGAAATCTACCTCTTAGGAGGTATATAAGTTAATTACACAAGGACACCGTATATTTTGCGATAAAAAAACGACTACTAAATATCTTAAAAATGAGTGGATTGCGCACCACCCTGAGAGAACTTTGCCCCTAAAGTAGATTTGCCTGAAGCTTGATAAGGGATGCTAAACTTAATTGTTAGAGAGATATTGATAAACTAGCTTGAAAGAAAATTCATAGACAGGTGTCTTATTTTTCTTTGAAGAACCATGGAACATCATAATTCAAATTTCCTTGTCTAACATGGGTTTCACGAACTTATCCTGAAGAAATCATTCTGATCTAAGCAAAACAAAATCTAGAATGTTTCGAACAAGTTTGATCTTTAAATATTTCCAAAACTTTTTCTTAAAAGCTATAGGTATTAACACTGAGGGGAAAGCATCGCGAGCAAGGAGTACTATACAATACTATGGAAAAATAAAAATTATTTGTGTGAGGAGATACTTAGTATCTCAGTTGAAGGAATTCTAATTCTGCACACTGACCTATCAATTAGTTTATGTTAGTCATTATGAAAGAAAGCACAGTCGAATTTATCCTGTGCATTATCATCAGATATGACATCTTGTACAAACAACTTCATGGATATCCAATATGAACAGCTGGCTAACAATAAGTCCGTTACAAGATGTAATTCTGAAATACCTTGTATTTCATTGCTCTCATTATTCGTTTATTAGTACCTTTAATGTAGTGAAATCCGTTTAAATAACTTGGAAATTGGCTACAAGCTAAGGACAAGATGACGTTGTTCTTAAATTCTTGTTTAAAAGGTTGCGAGCAGCGATTATTTCATGGATTTAAGCATTATACTTCCACTACCTAGTGATATTGCCTAAAATTCCATTGCACCTCACCAACCGTCCAATCTCGAGAGGGAAATGTAAGATGATAAGGAATCATTTCAAATAACTAAATGATGTTCTTAACACCTCAAAAGATCAAGCCATGGAACGATTTTTCCATACTAGAGTTCTTTAAAAAACAGTCGCTCATCGCACGTGTGTTGTTTACAAAGACAGATACAACGAACGCATTTCGCCTATCTCTTGAATCGCTGGCTATGCATACTTCAAAACATTACCAGAGCAACTAACTCGTTTTGTTGCCTTTCTAAACGCAAAAGGCGTGAAAATATTTCCCAGTCTTCCGTAAATTGACTTGGAGACCTGGCTTGACAGTTCAGGTCCGAAACTTCGTACGAAGGACCAAGGGGCACTGACGCGAATACTTCACGATTTTCAATTAACTCTTGATAGTTTCAGTTTTCTTCTGCTTATTTTCTCCTTCACCTTATTTTCCAAGGTAGCTTTGTTTTACTGGGTACTTTATTTTGAGACACTTGAGCATGCATGTCAAATGAAATGTTGCCTAGTTTGACATCGATGAACTAAGCACATCCAAGGAGTATAAATTGACAGTCTTTTCGACATGCAATGATTGCTTGGATTATGTAGATTATCTAGAATTCAAAACTCATCTTTAACTTATGTCTTAGAGTAGTCTTAAAAAAATTCACACGCTGCAAATGAAAAAATACACCACACAGGAAAAAAATAATCCAGGTACTACTCAATAGTAAGGTATTGTAATGTATAAAAAATGAGAGGAAAATCTCGTTTGGACAATATAATTTCAGTAAAGAAACCTCCTGTATGTAGCAAACGCGGTTAATACACAAAAAAATGATAACAGAGGAATTTTACTGACCCGAGGTCGGATTCACCATGTTGTGTTTCTTCGGCAACAGCAGAATTAGAACTGCAAGTTAAAAAACTATTTCATTATCCAACTCTGATTATAACAAAGACTTGAGTGAAATTCCTTTATCCCTTCACTGATTCATACCCTAACATGATAATAACGTATCAAGACCACTAACAATTGATGACTTTATTCAGAACCTTTAATTCTAGTACAATAACCAATATTTGTGGCCAACAAGAGAAATTTTTATCCAGTTGTTCCTGCCTTGAAAGAAACTTCAAAGAGAGGGAGGCTAAATTCAACATCGGCAGAGCATAGAAGTGTAGAAACAGATTAAGATGCAGAAAAGCTGGCTCAAAGTCACACATGTAGCCGAGGACCGGCAGACAGTTATTGTACTAATGGAGTGCTTTTGTGACTTAGAGAAGTTAAGTGCCATTCTGTAAAAGGGTAAGTAAGGTTTAAGTGAATTAGAAATCACTGAACCGATGAAAGAACACGCATTGCTGTTAGTCTGCTCCTTTAAGCTTGTTTGTTAGGTGATAAAGTTTTTAACTTTTGTCTTCAGGAAGGTCAGATCAATTTTGAGCTCACCTCTCTAACCAGCAAAACTGATCTCGAGAAATTTGTATATCACTAATTCTTTACAACAATTTTATTCATTGAATAACACATTTGACATATGATGAAAGGAAGTTCGAGAAGTCCGTGCAAAAGTAGATGACGACCTTCTCGCTTTAGGTTGACGCACAGATATATAACATTACTGAAACCAGATAGGATATTAAAGATTTGGTATATGGTGTCTCTTTACATCACAAAGAAGGGATTGCGAGAGCATTCTTACAAGGAAAGTAACAAAAAGACCCAACTATACAGCAAAGAGTCAACCTGCTAACCATTTAAGCTGCATAACACGAGTGATTACATTTCGATTAAGAAACTATGCAGTTATTGATTTACAGTTCGATAATAGAGGGATTAGACTATTTTCGGAATAATCATCAACCTTGTTGTTTCTTTGCTTTGCCGATTTGCATGGTTCACAATTTTATATCTTAGAAACGATGCGTGGGCGTTTTTGCGGAAGCACTGCATTGGGAACTCAGGCGATGACTGACTTCTCATTGTGTTATTTTTAAAACAATTTTTGATTTAAGGGTATCGGCTTTTCGAGTCGTAAGACAACGTGTCGCCTTTCTTCGTGATAGCCGAGCTACGCTAAGTGCCCTTCTTATGAGCAGTCGGCTGACACCCCGGATAAAAGAATCAAACACATGCAAGATACCTTGAATCTAAATTGCAATGACTTTGATTTTTATTTTGCCGAAGAAAAGCACATTGAGTAATCTGTATTTGGTGCAAGTACGAATTACAAAGTAATATAGCCAGAAACGCTTCACGAGTGCCTGAAAAGAGTTTAATGCCTTCACTTTACTCCTATGCTAATACAATTAGTGATGACGAGTAGCATTAATTAGGCCATATTACATACCGAGTCTGAATAAGTGAGTAACAAAATCTACTGCTCACGCCGGACTCCAAGCCGCGAAGTTTTCAGCTTTTTAGCCAATTCCAATATAACATAATGGGGGTTCTAGCTATTAACACCATTAGCCGTACCGACAAGGAATATAGTACATTACCATCAACTGGAGAAAGTATATTAGCCATCCTATTGCCATCGCTTTTTTTTTTCGAATCCTTTATGGCTTCCCAAATTTTCATCTTCAGGTGACTGGTTGGGTTAAATAATTTCTAAACTTCACGTGACAGGTTAAAGGCGTCCGAAAAGAAAAAATTAAAAGCTTGCTGTTGATATCTACTTCTACTAAATACCTTGCGTGTTTGGATTTTTGATGCGTACAAATCTTGTTTACGACATGTCACTCCCATTGACGTGCACGGAGAAAATGTATCAGTTCAACGAACTGTTTTACCAACACTAACGACAAGGTCTCCAACGTCCGCGATTGGAACGAGTTTTGATTTTATTCAGTTTTGTCCATTAAATACAGAAACACTTATGTTCTGGCGAACCACTCGTTCGTTGATTTGGTCTACTCTGAACGTGTGCCAGCCACTACGGAACTTTAAGGGCGTGAGCACAAGTTCACCTCGGAAATCTGAACTTAACATGCAACACACTATCGCTCTCTGCTCTTGCCTTGAATAAATTCGTCGTACTAATATTTAGCAGCGTACGATAAGTTTTAAGAAAATGCAGTTTCCTTCATTTGTATGGGTGAATTGAGAACGGTTTTGTCGTGGGGCTAAGGTATGTTATGCATTTTTTTCTCCTCAAATTTGGCCGTTTTCGTTTTGATTTGTTCTAGTATTGTATGCGATTGCAATTGTCAGCTTAAAATAAAACGTATTGATTTACCAATAGATTTCCTACAATTCTTTCGAGCGTGCGGTATCGGTCATCCACACCAATAATACAGACTGGGAATCGACGAAATGAGAATATGTCGGTCAAGAACACTTGTCCCTTCAGAGTGCTCAAACTTAAAAATATCCAAATTGACCCGTCAGATACCCACCGAAGGTCGCTGATGTGACAGAAACTGAAAGAAAGATTTCGTCAGCTAAACTATCTGAATGTAACACCAGACCTTGCCTTACAAGATTTAGACAAGGAATGCGCAGGTTAACATACAAGACTAAACTGGTGGGCCTTCCGGAACAATCCATCTAATTCGATTTTTTGCTCTTCCATTTTTGAAGAAAGTCTTAAATTTCAGCCTGAAAATCTTGACTCACGAAAAAGTAATTATTGCTGGTTGAACGCCGTCCGACGTTTGTCGGGAAAGAGGGCTCAGACTATTGTTTCCTTCTCATTGTCTAAGTCCTCGAATGAAAAGAGATTAACGATTTATTATAAATAATGTTTATAGTTCAGTTAATTGACGAGTGATCCCAAGTTCTCAGGTTATTTGTCTCTCTTTTTAGCAGCCGATGTAAGATTAACAGAATACCATTAAGAAACCTGACAAAAAGTCTGGGACATCCCTCATCGATGCTTTACTCTCAAAGCCGCTTTATGCTACGGAAACCAGGATAAGCTCCGTTCGATTAACTACTTGGCTATTTGAAGACGTAATCCTTTATTGCACAAATCAACTAAGACTTTTAATTGAATTGCCTAGAAGTCCTCAGAAAAGATGCTAGTAAATTCCTCTGGCCTAAACTCCTTCCTTTAATTTGTGGTTAACCCTTTAAACACCCACATCTTAGCCGCCATGAAAGAAAAAAACCTGTTGAGCTTAAACTTTACTGCACACCCATAAATTCCAAGAGTGACCGACATATCAAAGTCTTGAATTTTCAAATTCCACGCTAAATCTGCTTTAAGTACCTTTAACCAAAAATAAACAAATGGAGGTCGCAGATTGTCAATGTACATGTATTTAATAATAAACTATCCACAACATGTCAGGAGATATTTCACTCCATTGAACATTTTTCCGCATTGACAAGGTAGTATTTCCTAGCGTTTTGATAACATTGTTTGCTGAGAAATATGTTGGCAAACCAAAAGGAGACAAATTATTTCGGATGCTGAAACATTCATAACGGCAGTTTGCAACTACTGAACACTGCACGTATCTTTACAAGTTAATGAAACTATCTGTCGCTTATCTGGTGATTCATCAGTAATGCTTTTGGCAAGTTTCTTCTTAACCCAATATAAACTCGTGAAACTATTTAAGCAATGCAACCTTTGAAAAAGTTTATTTGTGAGGGTAAGCTTTATTGAGTAGCACGTTATAAATGGTTGTTTGTCGGTTACTAAACACCCACGTATCAAACATAACGAGAAATTGATTCCGTTGCTATTTGTTTGCGGAAGAGGTTGAATGATAATTTTGTTGCGCCTAAGGGCAAAAACTTAAGTTGCAGCTGTTCGCAAGTTTTATTCAGTCGTTGCTTCGCCATAACATTTTCAGTGATTTCAGTTTTGACACTAACGAAAATAGCCTGTCTGATGATCGGATACAAAATCGCGCGCTGCTAAGATTAGTATCTAAGCAGCTGATTCAAATATGACAAAATTCAAAATAAACTTTAAGAGTTTTTCTGGAAGTCTCTGGGCGTTACGAGATAAAATAGTTTATCTCATCATACAATCAAAAATTTAGCTGTGTAATTATTTTTAGGTACGGCGGCAAATAGTCCCCTAAAAGCTGATAATTTCTTTTTACTTTTCCGCGGTGATTAGTCCTACAGATGTAAAACTGATTGACAAGCTTTGGGAAATGAGTGCGTTGGCTTTGCAACCCAAAGTGCGTGTAATTTTCAAACTAGTTTAGTAACAGTGGATGACTTATCCATGCCATAACCAACAACATCTGCACATAAGTCTGCATTTCCTTCGCACTAACAAGGCACTTACCACCAAAACCCCCTTCATCCGTGCACTAGAAACATGACCCTTGAAGTCTTTGCTAAATAGCTTACAGGCCTTATAGATAATGGCTCACTAAAGAACCCTGTAGCCAATTTTTGTTATCTTTGTGGGCGATTTTATAAGCTTCTGTGGGAGGCAAGAAACAAAATTTTATAGAATTACGAATTCTAAAAAAGACGTGTGCAGGAATTTACTCCCCTTGTCACGAAACACTCGTCAATAATATACACAAAAAATTGCCTGGTATATTAACACTCGAACGCATTGCATTTCTGTTTGAAAAAGCTTTCAGTCATACGGTCATTAAGATCCCACATGGGTCAAGAATTTCCACCTTAAAAGTCGTTTTTCAGACATTTAATGCAGAGTAGTTCGAATTAGTGCCATCATCTGCTAAAGTTGAGGTAAGTGTTGGAATCCGGAGTATTAAGATTCCTCCAGTCTGATTTTGTGAACATGTATCTATTAGCGCTGACATCGTAGCCTGATGAGATTTGTAAAATGATGCAGGCTGATATCAGCTGTGACCTCTTTTCATTAGTGGGGTTTAAGCTTACAAGAGCCTATTCTGAATAAAATATCACTAATTCTTTAATCTCTGGGGACCTATCATTATTCGTTTAGTCGCATTTTACCCTGAAAGTTTCAACAATACACCGTTCACATTGTACCTCGGCTACAAAGACATTTTTTTCAATTAACATCAAAGATAAATGTGTTGACAATCAAAGGCTGTACACCATGACAGGCAAGAGAAATAATAAACTGATTTTAATGAGATTAAAGAAAACTGGCAACGATCTGTTGATGATAAGGGGAGTGCAGTGTTTAGCTATCACCTCCCAAACTATTAGCTGACATTCTCAACAGAATAATGCGACCAGTAACCGAACGAGTACGGCAGGTAATAGGATGAGTAGAAAGTTTCAAGAGCCGGAAATTGCAATCACCTCTTGATTGAGAGATTAGTGGTTTATATGGTTAGCCTTGTCAAAATCAGTTCGCCGGTGAAACACTTCCAAGGAGATCAAGAGGCCTGCACAACAAAGTAAGACAATAAATTAGACATGTGATCCGATGAAAGGTTGCGTACATGCGATTGGCCAATTCATCGCTTTATTGACAGTCTTTGCGCTTGTCTACAATCCTCGTTGTTGAAATGCTTTGATCACTCGAGGTGGTAATCAAACAGTTTCCTGCGCTTATGAGCTTATGAGCTGTGCAAACAGGTTTTGTGTTAATTTTCTGACTCATCGTCATCAGACAAGAGCGACAGTCAATGCTCGTGCTAAAATGGCCGGATTTTCCTGCAGCGCGATTTTGGCTCTCTATCTAACCGCGATAACGTTTCCTGAAGGAGACGCTTATAGCTTGAATCGTGATAAAGCTACTACAGCGCCTCGCAGTAACATGTCGCTAGCACATGTCAGAACTCCGACGTCAATTCCCTCCACAAATGGATATGTGCAAGATCCGAAACCGATCAACAATGGAAACGGTATCTATTCCGAAGATTCAGAAATTTACAAACTGAGAATCGAGATTATCAAAGCCAAAATACTTAAAACACTTCAAATGGATAAACAACCGGTCGTCCACATAGAAAAAACAAAGGACAAAATGATCGCAGAGCTTCTCTTAAGTTTAAATCTCATTGATATGAGTGACGATGGCAACGAAACGGGAGAGTACGAAGACGGAAAGTATGACAAGACGAGTAAACTCATTGTTTTAAGCGAAAAAGGTAAGAGGAACAATTTTGCGTGCTCTAAGGGATAGAAACGAAGTCGCCTTTTGTCATATTTCTCCACAGATAATTTCCATCAAGGTCATGGTCCGGCTTTCAAGTTTTCCCTTTGTTTTCAGGACGTTTTGATACCGGCATGGTCAAGAGGGCAGCAGTTAAATTATTTCAGCATATTTCTTGTCAATTCACTCGTCACCGCAGACAGCAGCAGAGCAAAGTTCAAGAGCTAATGTTGCAACAACTTCATAATTACACAAAATCATTGCTGCCTTGACGTTTTAGATATTAGTTCTCGGCACCTCATACGGTGCTAACTGAAATAACGTTTTTTGTTTTGAATTTTGCCTCTAAGTTAATGACCATTGTGTTACGAACATTAGGAGGCGGAGTCGGTCTATATGTCCTTTCACAACTGCTCAGAGAGTGCTTTGGAAATTGCTTAAGTCCTGACACGTAGGTTTAATGCAAAATGTGGAGAGAGGGTTAAACAATTTTCGTCATTCTTAACTTCTTCAACTAAGGAAACGTAATCTCAGAAACGTGCGATTCCACCAGCTCACAATAACAAAATAATCCAGACAGTGCCTATGAGAGAATGTCAAGATTTATATAAAAGGAGGGGCACTAGGAACAATTGGTATTAATGCAAAACAACGGTTAATAGTAGGTGAAACAATAGAAAGCATGCAAATAATTAGAAGCTTCAATTTTTTCACAGTTGACATGTATATGGTATACAAGCGTTGTGAAGAGACAAATAGGGCAAAAATTGAGCTTGGACTTTTTTTGCTGCTAACTGATTGGTAATCATAAATCCCATTTCAGTATGTTAGAAAACTAAAACAAACTTAGGCTAATAAACCGCTTTCTTTCTCTTCAATTTTAGCTGAGGTTTCACCTTCGAGATCAAAGCAAAATTTTTCCGAGAAGTTGATTTTCCAGTTTAATATTGAGCCGAAATCGCTGTCCAGTTCAGTGCCCTCTGCGTTTCTGTGGGTTCATAAACGGAAAAGCAGACAACACGAGCTAAGGAAGAAGACACTTCACATAAAGGACCCTAACAAAGAATCACCTAACAGCACCTCCGAAGTACCAATCAACAGAACGGTGACGGCCAAGTTAAAAGCAATACGAACCGGCTCAGGATGGGAAATGATAGACATGAAAGAAATCGTTCGGCAATGGTTTAACAAGACAACTCAACAATACGATGCAAGGAATGGAACCGACAACGGCGTACACGAATTAGAAATCTCTTGCTCGGACTGTGATTCGGACGTTGGTCAGCTAATTAACTCGCGGGGAAGATTACGGCCATTTCTCGTTATCGACTTGGAGAAGCCAAGAACACTGTCAAGGAAAAAGCGCCGAGTTAACAACTGCCCTGATGGGCAAGCAGTATCGTGCTGTCGTCGCAATTTCTATGTGGATTTCGGAAAAATCGGCTGGCATTGGGTGATACACCCACAGGGATTCTATGCCAATTTCTGTGAAGGTTCTTGTAAGAGTCTTCATACGAGAATTACTAATGAACGAGCCATCATAATGCAAGAGGCAGTGAAAAAAAATCTGAGTCCACCTGGATTCACCGGCAGTTGTTGCAGCCCCACTAAGATGAAGCCCTTTTCTATGTTATATTGGGACGACGAGTCTAATATAGCAAAAAAAGACCTACAAGATTTAAAAGTTCACGAATGTGGCTGCTCTTAAAATGCAAAGGAAGAAAGACATAGAGTCACGGACATCCGCAGACGTGTTTAGCTTATTGAGTCTTAAGGTAAAAAGGCTGTTTGAAAGTAAGGTATCTATTTTTTAAGCAACTTTATTGACGTGGGAGGTTGAACGTTTAGATTTAAGATAAGAAAAAAAAAGAGGAATTCTAAATTCCTCAAACGGGTCAGAAGAGAAATTTGATAGCCCCGTCGATAACCGAGGCATTATACCTCTGAAGTGTTGATTTTATCGGTTTTTGAAACGTAAATACCCTAACCATTTAATCTCATGGAATTCACGTAGATGTGCAAAGTTGCTATTTGATATCGAGCTTAATGCTCATCTAGGGCTTTGATTTATTTTTGCACGATTAAGAGACAAACATAACCGATAGAGTAGAGTATTTAAGACGATGAACTGAACCCTGGTAGCGCCACGTGTATGATGCCCTTCAATGGACATAAACTATTGTGATGTGATAATTTGCTAATTCCGGTGGCGCAGCGAGATAATTCGAGTGTTGATGTCCATCTTAATCACGCCTATCTTGATACCAAATTGAAACTGGAAATAGCAGATTTATCGTACAAAAGTACAACTTATCATCGGTAAACAAGGGGTAAGTAGATATACATGCATGTAAGGAATGATGCTCCATGGGGTTGTCTGAATTTTGAGGTCTTCCAAATGCAAAGCATTGCGGAGAACCATTACTAAATGTATCACTTTGCATGCAAAACAGGTTTCTAAAACCACTGCTTGAGGATGGTTGAAAAGACAAATTGAAAGAGGAAGAATAAATTAAAGGAACTTTGCGAAATGATGAAGGTTAAGCAATTTCAAAACCCATTTGATCATCATTGATTTTTGCGAAATAATTGCTGGATCGGGAGTCAGGGAGGGCGGTTAATTCAAGCTTATGGCTTTTAATTCGGTAGTGGTTTCAAGACATCATGTGAGCAGCAAGAAAGAGTTTATACCCCCGACAAAGAAAAGAAACAGAAAGCGGGGTATCCTACTCAGTGACTACCCCTCGCAACTAACCTCTTCCCCGTACAAGATATAAACCTAGAACAAAACAGAGCTGTCTCCCTATGAAAGAAAAGTACCGAAATCTGACCTAGAGAAAGAAATACTTTGATCTTTTCTACAGCCTCATTGCTTCCTTATACTGGCTATAAGCGTATAAAGTACTGTCAAATATGCTTTTATGTAACAAGAATCTAAAAGTAGTACTGCATTATATTGCAATTAACTCACACGCTGCGAGCTCACAAGAGTGGCCGGCGGAGTGATTTAAAATCTTTCGTAAATTTAGAGAGTAAATAATGTGGCACAGCCGTTTCAAAAATACTTTTTGTGTGGTAACTTGGTGAGATTTTCTGTGACGAGTGTGTTAGTGTTTTATTTTAGACCTGTGAGGCAACTTAATGTTTTGTAGGTAAGGAAAAGCACACGATTTTTCAATAAAGTATTGTTTTCATCCTATAGATTCCACGAACATTTAGTCAGGGGTTCTTTTTGGAGGGGTTATTTTTCTGAGTAATAGATTCGTGAGCTGGTTGTCATGAAAGTCTATGATCAACTTCAGTTGGTCCTTCCATTGATCATTAATGCAGGACAGCTATTGTTAAGCAATGCTTCATTAGACCTATATTCTTAGCTTGTTCTCTAGTTGTCTGACTGTTTTCTTAAGGAAGGGAAAATGAGCATACTCTCGGAAAGAACGGATACCCAATTTCAGACCAAGAGAAGGTCGCGTTGAATAATACTTATTTAATTGCAGGGAAGTGCAAATAATTTTAGTTCCAAAGTATCTATAAGAAGGAGAAAGAAAAACTAAAAGTAGCTTTCACGCCAACTTGCTCAACCTAATTCAGTCTGAAGCAGCCCGAGCTCGATGTACGACGTCATCTGAACTCGACTGTCATTACGTAATGGTATTCCAGTAGGTATACTTCCATTGGGGACCAAATCATAGCATCCGGGATTTAAGTGGAAAAATAGCTTACTTTGCCACATTGTGTGTTTGTAAGTCTTCAGTGAGATTTTTTGGGTCGATTATTTGTTATTGAGGCGGTTTCAAGTCCCTCCGCTATTTTTATATACATTTCCCAACACAAACAAATCCTGATGTTCCTACTATTACGTAGCAACAAAATACTTCTTGTCGTTCAGCTGCAAAGCAAAAAGTGTGTTGTAGAAGGAGCGTCGCTACATACTCCAGTAAGCAATTTCCCCCCATCCCTCACATGACTTTAAACACGTATAGTATTGTATCCAGTATAGGATGTAAGTCCACTGAATATTCAAGCTACGCTGGGTCAACACCTATAGAGGTACTTTGAAAGCTTTTGGTCTACGGAGAGTAATAAGGAGCCAAAAAAGATCAATCGTCACATTAGAATAGGAAGACTCCCTTAATAACACGAATGAAACACACGAAACAGTGCCTACCCCATGGGGTACACAAAAACATCACGTCCGAAAGTCAGACGTTTGTTCTCGAATCCAGCAAAATAGATGCCGTCACGGTCCCTGGTACTTTACCATTGATGAGTGTCGTACGTCAGTGAATGAGAGGAGTTCGTCTCATTTACTAGAAAAACATTTAAATTCTTCAGGATTGCCCTGGGAAATAGTATCAAATTAAAATTGAAAACTGAATAGTTCGGCGGGTGTCGAGGGGAAATGTAGTGTTGGGATGCTTGTTTTGACGTTCTTGAAATTCTTATACGAGCTTAAAATAGTACCAGATTCCCTAAGAATAGCCTATTCCAAGTGCTCAGTTAGTAAAATGGAGCGAAATAAATGAACGGCGCGATAGTAACAGCAGAGTGTAGGGAAGGAAGCAGGCTTTAGTCGGGTCGCGAGTCGACCCAAACCTCCCCTGTTTTTCCTTCGGTCCCCACCATCACACCATTGACTTTTGGGCTTCGTTTCACTGATTAAGAGCCTAGGACGAGCTACAATAGGAAGAAAACATTTTTTTAGCAAGAAATCATGGGATTGAAAACAAACTCGAAATAACGACATCTAGCATTTTGATTAAAGATGGAGATTAGCGAAGGGCTGGAAATGGGTGCTTACGTAATTTCTAACAATTCGGGCAAGGATACTTTGCAATCCGGCTAACATTTGCTAGTAGAGAATTACTTATTTGATAAGTAGAGATTTGCTGAAGCAAAGGCATATAAAAAACCAGGAAAGATTTATTGCTGCTCGACATTTCGGAATCAGCATGACTCCATTATCAAGAGACTAGTTAACTAGCATGCAACTAAAGAAAGGTACAAGATAATTGAACGCACATTGAACGTGCAAACATTAATATTCCATCCGCGCCAAGGTGTTTGTTTAGGCCGTTTATTGTAATTTATGCTTATCTTGTACCTTTCCTTAGTTGCATGCTAGTTAAGTAGTCTCTTAATAATGGCATCATGATGATTCCGAAGCGTCGAGCAGCAATAAATCTTCCCTGGTTTTTAGAATTACTTATTCAGTATTTTAAAAGGATGACAAAAAACCCCTGGTAATTGACTGACTAATTGCCAAATGAAAGCCGAGTGGTAATTGGGTAAGATTGAAGGTAGCATACCATGGGAAAATCTTACGTTTACGTTTGCGGTGCACCCACGACTGACACGACCAATCGGTTTAATCTCATTCGAACAAATTGGCTCAGAGAGAGAGGGAGAGATTGTTCGAGATTATATCAATTTGCACTGAGATTTTTGCGCTGCGTCGACAACTAGGGAAGTGAAACGATTGGTTGCTTTCTAACCGTAAATCCCGAGAAACGGGCTCGAAAAACTATCTCCGAGTATTTTAAGTTTTCCGGCTAATCAGTCGTGTTCTGTGGCACGTTATCATAACTGGTGCTTTTTACTTAGGTTTTGCAGCATTTTGTAACAAAGGCGAGCAACAAATTTTGAAATAAGGGCTGCAGCATTTTGTAACTGTCGAGTTTCTTAAAACTTACAACACAGTATTATTCCACGTATTAGGTATTTGCGGATTCTCTCCTTCGAATAAAAATCTGTTATGCAGTTTTGGCGGTTTGAAAGAAGAAAGCGACACTTAACTTCAACAGTTACTTCAAGAATGATAAATCTAAGGAAACATTTCAACAGTTGTTCCGAGATATCGACGATATCTCGGTACTGAGAACAAAGCACGAGATTCGTCTATAATGGTTTGCATTACTTTTGCACAGTGCGGTATGTTTTTGTCGTCAGTAAGCTGAGATTATTAGAATTTGCGTTGAGATGTTGTTAGAAATTACGTAGACCTACGATTATTAAAAAAATGCTGCAGCTCTAATTGCAAAATGCTGCAACAGCTCTTACAAAATACGCAGGGTTATAAAAAAATTATCAGTATTACAAAATGTTGCAGAAGAATTCGTATAAACAATGGATGTCAGAGGAGTTTTTCTCTAAGGTAACACCTAAATTCGCAAAAGTCACGGAGTCAAACCAAAAATCGAAACTTCATCTCCCATTGAAATTCACCCACGTTTCTCATTTAATTTGCGTTATAAACAGACAATCCCCAAATCCCCCACTTTGCTTTGACGTGTGGCCAACACTGGAACTGATTTAAAGCTTTCTTAATCCGCGGTTCGCTCTCACGAATAGTCTCCTCTCGCAGCCGTTCTTTGTCTCGGGATCTAATAGACATATATAAAAGGAAAGCTAACACGTCATGCCTGTGTAAGTGGACTGTTGTTTTTTTTCTCATGAAAACGTATAGCCACAAAAAATTAATGTCATATCCAGCAGTCCCCCTTTCTCCTTCGCCTTCCCCTAAAAAACATTGTGAACGCGAAGGATTTGTTGTCAGAATAGTGCTATGCAAATGGTTATAGTATATACAGTTACATGTAGCTATATAGACAGACTAAGTGGCGTTTCAGTTTAAAATATACTTGTATTTCAAAGTGTTTGGTAGTTTCTGTACTAAATATTGTATGATTTTTTTTTTCAACCAGAAAAATGCATCATTTCTGTATACAGCCCTCAATCAAGACAATCAAGATGGATCAGTGTTCCGAAGAAAAATAGGATCTCTCAATAATTTTTGATAAGCATCCCCCTCTCCAATAAACCTCTTCCCTATGTCCGGAGGCGAATCAGATCGTTTAGTGGTAGCTCAAGTTTTCAGTGCAGACCTCTTGAAGAATTTTGAAGCGGGATCCGTTTAACTTATAAAACATTTGTCGATCTCGCATTTTTCTCCTTCTTGATTGTTAAAACGAATGGTTGCCCAAGCGGTTCTACGTAACGTTGTAAATTATCCCGTACGATAAGTTTCTTTAATCTCTAAAATTAGGGTAAAAAGAACTTATAGATCATCTATGTAGTAAAAGTTCAAGCCTTGGCTCCTGGAAAGCCTATTATACCTCTCCCGAAGTAGTAAACCTAGAGAATTTCTTATCACTACGATACTGAACTAATCTAGAAATAACTAATCCAGGTCTTATCTATCGAATCGTGAACTAATTTTGGATTAATGGTAATACAAAACAGTTTAAACAGTTAAGCGAATTTATCCGTGAGGAGAAAAAGGGAAAGAAGAGGAAAGGAATGTCGGAAAATTATTAATCAATGGAAGTTGAGAAGGCAAAAAGGAAATTGCTCCGTTTGAGGGTTGACCTTGGTTTTGCCTCAAGTTGCTTCATACAAGGCAAACCGGAAAAGCTCCGACTGGATGGGCCACAGCTTGGCTCGAGTGCAGAGTTTACTTAACCTTAAATGGTTGCCACAGGTCAGAAAATGGTCGGGTAAAAGTACTGATTCCTTAAGGTCAGAGAGAAGTCTGGGAATTTCACTCTATTGAAGTCAAGGAAAATTCATGTTTTCCAAAGAAGTTAGGGAAAAGTTAATTTTTTTTTAACCAATTCAAGTACTTTGGTAGGTTTTTATAGAAATGATATTTATATAAATTAATTTGGGTGTCAATGAATGAAAAAATGTTTTTAGAGTGGCAGCACATGCTCTTAGTGGCTTTTCATCTATAAAATTCCAGATTGAAAAGCAACTTTGAGAAAACATGCAAAAAATGTGCTGGATTGTTTAAATACTGTTTTGTGAAAATTTATAAGATCCAGGAACACTGTTCCATAGGATTGCACAGGTTTCTGACAAAATCAATCCGTTTTTCATGTTTTGTCAAGGAACTATCAATTCATCTGCCTTGCATGTGACTTAATGACAGCAAAAATAGTTGAAAGGAGAGGATAGCTTTTGGGGTGGTTGTAGGTGATCACTATAGCTAATTCAGGAATTGTAAAATTGGTCAGGCAAATTTTACATTTGTCAAAATAAACCTATGGCTATAGCAACAATGTTGTATATACTTCTGTCTCAAAGTTAATTGAACTGAAGAAAGACAGACAAGATTTGCTAATGAACACTTTGTAAAAGGAAAGCCAAGACCTGAAGTGCAAGTAACACCTTTGATTACAACTAAGCAAGATAGAGTTCAA